GACGTCGACTTACTGTGCGATTTGGCCACAAATACCAGACAACCGATGCCGGGAACCAAACCTAAACTCATTGACAAACTGTTTGGTGGGTTAGATATGCAACGGTTGGGCACCGATAGCAACAGTTGGGTCCTCCGGTTCCGGGACGGCGTCGGTCGGGTCCGCTCTCTCGTCGTGTCCAACATCGAGAAGAATCGCCGACTCTTTGCGTATCCTCGAAAAACCTTCGGGAACTACGAGGAAGTGATCGGTGATAGCGTTTGGGACTCGCAGGCCGTCAAGACAGGGGTCGGCTCACTGTTGGCGCCGAAGAGTCGGCTTGACTTCGATGTGAGACCGCCGGCCACTACCGTATCGTTTACCGACATTTGGCGACAGATATGGCGCCCGAAGGAGACCCCTATCGACGATATGCGGAGGAATGCGGACCTCTTGGGCGCTCAGCGCAGGAAATCCCATGAAGTGAGCCGCGAATTGTTTGCCAAATCAATGCCGCTGTTTATCACCGGCGGAAGCGCTGATCAGAACAATATTTACGACAAACAGTACTTCGAGATTATCACCAAAATTAACGAAATGTCAAAAGCCATTAAAAAAGCGGAAGAAAAACAACTCATTAAACCGATTCCGACGACAAGTATTGACCAGAAAACCGATGAGACGGCCGTTAAAACCAGTTTCCCGACCAAAGAGTCGCTGACGAAGAAGTCCAGCAAAAAATACACATCAAAATCGGACAAAATGTTTAAGAAAACACCGAAAACAGTGGACAAAGAGGCAAATAGTGGCCACAAAGCGGTCAAACTGACCGATTTGATACCATCCGAGTCGGATCGGCACCTAATGGCCCAGAGTTTCAGCACAAACACAGTGTCTTCGCCACCTCTACGGCGGGTCCCGCTGTCGGTGTCCACTGTTTTGGCCGGCAGTGCATCCAAGATATACTCGAGTGGGCCGGGGCTGGGGTTGAGCTCTCATAAGCAGCTACATGTGCCGCGCATAGCGCCGCCCACACCCGTCATAAACCCGACGTCAGTGCTGTCCCGTCCGGTGGACTTCGCGCAGACAATACTGCCGGAGCCGACGTCAGACATCGACACATTCACATACAGGGATGCGCTCATCGGTGATGATTACCAGACATCCCAAGCGACCCAACAATTGTCACCAAAAGATCCCAATGAGTACACGTTTGTTACCCTCAGCTAATTATTGGGACATTTTTTCTATTTATTATTTTTTATTATTTAAATTTTATTTGATTTTATAATTTATTTGATGTATTTTTTGGTGATTATTTTAGTTTATATTTATTATGACTATATTTTTTGTATTATAAAATATTTTTTATGTCATTTATATATTTTATTTCGTATTTCATGATAAAGTTTATTTGAAATAGTATTTAAATTTTTATGTGATTTTTAGTTTAAAAGTTGATATAAATTTTGTTGTCTTTTTTTTGGTGCCATTAAATGTTCAGTAAATTTATATATTTATAAAACAAAATCAAAATTTTTGTATTAAAAATCTGTGATAAAAGTAATAGTAATTTATTATTGTTTTTCGCGTTTCAGAGATTATTATCAAATATAGCATTAAAATGAGGATTAAATTTCACATAAAATTTATATTAAATGTTGAGATCATTATTCAAAATAACTAATACTATCAAAAATTTTACATATCATATAACTGTGAAAATTTATGATTATTTAAAAATTTATTTAAAACTTACTTAATGTATGTCTAAAACAAAAAGCATGTATAAGTTATAAATTATAACACAAACATTACATATAAAATTTCAATAAAAACTATGTTTAAAAATAAACACAAAATCTATTATTAAAATATAATATAATTTTGATGTTAATTCACTAAAATATCAGCGATTTATAAATACAATATAAATCATTATGAAATTACTGTTTAATATTAATATAACAATTATATATCGCACTATACTTTTGTATACAGTATATGAAAATTGATATACTTTACAATATGTGTTTAACAGATGTTTTATTTTGATATTAATAGTTTTATAAATGACTTTTATTTCAATATGATTTCAATGACTTTTATATTATGTTTTTTCCACAACTTATAACTGCAATAGTATTGTACAGTAAAGATGTGTTTGTAATATAAATAAGTGAATAAATGTTTAACAACTACTTATTATTTTTGTTTGTAAATCACCATTGTCAAACAATACCCCCATCAAAATGACCATGATAACGCATGTGATCTTCGGCACACTTATAGACATGGATTTAGTGGCGGATCTACTCAGCGATTGGGCTAAGAGTAATGGCAGACATATGAATGAAGACATAAATAGTAAGTATTTTAATACAAATAAAACAATTAATTAATTATATAATTATACAAAAAGCTTATATCAGAGAAATGGTTACATTGAAAGACCTTTTCTACCGATTCTTTGATTCAATCAATTTATACACGGATTCCGTGCGAAACGAAACAATCAAACAATTACTTCGACTAATACTATACAAAGGGCTGAAACTGAGGTCCGGCGCCGACCGACTGATCAAACACTTGTACTATAACAACATACCGATGGCTATCGTCAGCTCCGGGTATAAGCGAGAACTGGATCTCATTGGCCAACGGTTTGGCACTTATTTTGACAAATTCTTTGAGCACTCGGTTTGCGGTTCCGACGACTCGGAAGTCATATTCAATAAACCAAACGCCGATCTCTATATGGTTTGCGCCAAACGCTTCCCAAAGCCGCCCA